AACTGGTGTATGATTTCATAATAGCAGGGAGACGTAGCAGGTTTGCTCACTTTGGTAGGCTTATTGTTCATTCCAGTTTAAATAATCCACAAGAACATGAATACTGTGATCATATTCAAAACTTAAGATGTTCACTTCATTTTATTGATGCTTCCCTCTGTTTTAGTAATTCATTTGAAAGACTATCATTAAGAAAACTGGAACAGTAAAAAGTTGCATTTAAAAAAACTGCATTCTATGTAATATCGAATGTCATCAGTGTTCTCATGCATTTAAATTTTGAAACTAGCAAGCAATATCTTTTCTTCCTAAACCCTCTATAGCTGATCAATTCTTCATACATCGGTGGCATTACACCAACCCTTCTTATAAAATAAGGCAATTCCTGGTCAAGATTCGTAGAACTATACAACATCTTTGTTTATAGGTGAGAAATAAAGAGTGGACATTTGAACTTTGAAGTCTGATCTACTGCTTCAATGAAAATAACTTTGAAGTCTGATCTACTGCTTCAATGAAAATAACTTTGAAGTCTGATCTACTGCTTCAATGAAAATAACTTTGAAGTCTGATCTACTGCTTCAATGAAAATAACTTAAACAATACCCTGTTATAGATTTGTAGTCTTCCTGGAGAACGGTGCTCAATCATAACAAAACTCGTCAACTTTTACTTTCAGTTGGTTACTCTGATGAGTATCAGTTTCCTTTAGATATTGTAGCTCCTCTAACAACCTAAGGAACAAATCCGCAATTATGGGAAGCCCCAGAGCCAGAAGCAAGAAACCTAAAATCATAATCAACCCTCCGACCCACAAAATCCATTGGCCATGCAGTGGATGTCTTCGTGGTCCTGTTATGGCTTGATATCCATAACAGATGGTCCATAATAGCAAGGACATAGCAATGAGAGCTCCAATTACACGCAATGTTGTTGCACTTGCACGAGCACCTGAAGAATTGGTGTTCGAAAACATCTTCCGCGTCTTAGTTATGGTTAACTGCAACTCCATGTTGGCAAGAATTCTGTTAAGATACAAATGAACACAAAAGGGTCTGAACTGTAAATATAGTTCTTGGGTGGGCGAGTAACAATTATCTTATATAGGCTGTGAAGCAAAATCATATAACTCTGGCACGCAAAGTTTTTATGGAGGAGCTCATTGAAAAAAGATGATATTGGTGAATTCAAATTAAACTAGTAAACTGTATATTTTTAGCACCAAAAATGACTTGAAAAATCCCATTACGACGGTGTATTCAAGATGTCTAATACGCAAAAGACATCTATTTGCGATAGGATACATCTTCAACGCACGGATAGTAAGCGTCGTTTTTTTTTTAATTGTATCATGGTGACATACAAGTGTACAACAATGACACAACTTTGCAAGATAAACAAAAGCCTCTCCAAAGATCAGTCTCTTCCATTTTTATTGTTTTTTTTAGGTAATTATACTAACCTTACGTAAGTAAGCGTTTATTGACCAATGTCGTATTGGTATACGAGACAAAAAATGAATCCAAAATAAAGTATGTTTAATAAAAAAAGTATAAACTATTTAATATTTGTATAATATATGTCTTGTTAGCAAATATTTTAAAGACACTGGTTGAAGAGTATTTTGTACTAATTTTTATAAAATGAAACAATTGGCTAATTATATATTTTTTATATAATAGTTTTTTTGTTTGTTTGTTTCACTACATACTTTCAAAAAAGTTATTTGCTTTTCTAATAGTTAAAAACATCAACTAACAGTTGTCTTTTAAATAATTAAAGGAATTTAATTAAATGCTTATTTTAACACGTTTAACTTAAAACACTCTTATCCGGCTCAAGCACGTTTCTTTGTTTTAGACACGATACAAAGTCGCCTTAGGAGTAACAATACTGTTAACTCAGTGTGATAACCTAAAATGATATATAAATATAACGTATATTAACATTAGAAGAGGAAAAAAAATATTTTTTTTTTCCATCTCGTTTTAAATGAATTAACAAAAGGTAGGATTGAGCATGAATCATTGTCAAACTCAAATCAATTTTTGTCTGGACCAATTTTTTAAAGACTGACCTAATCAAAACACGAAAATGAACTATAATCAAGACACGAAGATATATGGATAAATTCAAATTGATTTGACTTTATTAAACTATTAATTTTAACATTATGTATAATTTAATTATAAAATAAAATAAGTACAAAATTTAAATTAAAAAATTACGGTATATATACTCTAAAATAAATAATTTCATTGTAAATATAATATCATATTATAAAAAAAATATTAGTAACATTTTAACATTAATGTACAAAAATTCAAAAAACTTGTAATTTATGAGAAAATATTATGTCAAAAAATCAAGTTAAATGGTCTAAAACGTAATTCGAACCTGTCTTAAAAATATAATCCTATTTCAAAACTAAAACCCATCAAATCAAATCTCAAACCGGTTGAGTTGAGCCACCTTAAAAATATATCAGTCCTATTTCAAAACTCAAGCTCATCCAAATCAATCCTGAATCGGGTTAAAATCCTGAATCGGGTTAGTAAGTTGGATTTGGCCGTGCTCGCCATAATATAAGGTAAAAGCCCCTCATTTTGTGCGTGGTGTTTGGAGTGCTTAACTATAATACAAATCAGAGAATTCACATGGAACAGATTACTTCAAATTGCATCTAGGTGATTATTTTAAAACGTGCTCAGATGAAAAGAATATACACAAACAGAAAAGTGCAAAATCAAAAACATCTCGAGGGGGAAATTTGCAATAAGTATATATTAGAAAATATGGAATATGTTTGGTTTACTATTTGGATGCCCAAACAGAAGTTCAATTCTGATCGACTGCACCTATGTGTTTGATAATTTTTTTTTTTTTTACTTTACGTTAAACTTCATTATCTTCAAAAACATTCGTTACATCTAAAGCAACACTTATGTTGCTTTTCCGTTAAACAAGAAGTTTCGTTTCTCAATTTTCCTTTTCTATTGTACTTAATTCATTCTTGTATTCATTTTTATTTGATTTTTTTAATAATAAAAAATTAGTAAAAATAAGCTTAACTAATAATATTAATATCAAAATATAAAATAATAACAATGAAGTTTTTTCATCAATTCAAATATACTAAAAATAACAAAATAAACAATATTATTATCATTATAAAATATATACTCATTTTGGTAATTATACATGTAAAAGTACTTTTCATTAATATTATTCAAACAATTTTCATTTCAATAAAGTACTTTTGGAATAAAAGTATCCAAAGATAAATCAAGTTATACTAAACTTACTTTTAACTAAATTTAAGTTTTTCAACTTAAATCCAAACACACATAATCATTAACAGTGTATTTACAGCAGCTATATTGGTTCTAGGCTGCAATGCAATGCCTCCGTCACAAATTCTTCAACACATTCAGAAATTTTAAACCCTTTCGTTTTGTGCGGTAACGTCGCATCGAAAAGAAGTCTAATCCAGCAGCCCCTCCCCCAATATCAATTCTACGGGGGCTTGTCAACTTTCTCCGTTGTCTGAATGGTCTGTGACGGTTCACTTTCTATGGTGCCAGAATTTTATTATTAACCAATTTTTTCACATACATTATATATTAGTGTTGTTCTCAGATCTCATAGGTAGTAAATTAGATCTAATTAACCATTGTAATGGCGTGATAGTGTAGCTAAACAGTTAATATAAGGTATAGCTAAGGTATCGGGAAGAGACCAAAATTCAGATTTTGCAGACGATTCAGGCAACTAGTTTTTATTTATTTATTTATTTTATTTTTTATGTAAAACTCCAAACTCGCACAACGAAGTTCCAATGCAATCCTAAAAAATTCAATGATCCAAGTACCATCTAGTTTGTAGGTGATCAAATTTTTCAACATCATAAGCATGGATGGGATTCTGTATCAATTTATATTCATCACATAAGTGTAAACGAAGGAAATTTAATCCACAATCTTGGAATACAGAACAGTTTGATTGCAGACCTTTATTCATTGCAAGGGTGCCACCAAAAATTTCAAATTTCAGTCATTCTCTTCCCGGCCATAATTATAAACTATCTCAATCTGCATCAAAAACATAATATCAGAAATAAGCATATATTTGAAATCGATAAATTGGAACAACCTTTGGGGATTTAATACAGAGGAAAATGAATGAGGAACACTAAAATGCAAGCACGCCGGAAGGATACCCTACTCACAAATGGAAAACTTCCTCCTCCCATCCCTCATCATATTTTATGCATATACCCTATCTGATAGATAGTTTGGAAAACAGTATACAACTTCACTGGTATTTTATATTGCACAAGGGAAATGAATATCCAGCAGCAGATTATAGAATGATAGGATTAATTATTTCAAAAGCCTAACTATGGAAGCTGGCCATGCACAAGAAGCAAACTTCATAGCAGTTTTCATCTTCATGATTATAATATTATGACCACCTGAGATCTCAGTTAGCCAGTCTTGAACATTCCATCACTTGTTCAAAAGTAAAAATTACTCATCTAGCAATTGTACTTATTGCAGAAATATGGAGGAGCAATGCATTGTTAACTTCTAAAATTATCAAACACACATTTAGGACATAATGCAGAGGAGATGAGATACACTCATTCCCAGCAATATGCAAACCAGGCAAATCACATAACAATCAGGAACAGTTCCGTGCATTTGTCAAAGAAAAAGGCCACAAAGTGTTTAAAGTGATTAAATACACACAGATATGGAACATTTTGTGTGATACCCTTACATAACAGGTCGCATGACCCAACTGGCAACTGGGTCATACGATGATTGATGAGAGGTATAAACATAAATGTCCCCATTCCAAAAAAAAAAAAAAAAGTGTGGGGCCTTATGCAGGTATTCTATCATTCTATGCTTCTTGCATTGCACACGCATATATAAAATTTGTTCGAAAAGTATTAATCAAAGACAGAATAAGAATTTCAGTGACGTCCATGAAAATAGCAAAATAAGTAAGTGGAACCAACAAAAAATGGAAAAGATAAACATAACAACTTACCCCTTGAGGCGGAGTTGGGTTACGAGTAAACTTAGAACCACCAGGAGCCCAAGGAACTGTTATACATCAGAAAATGGGAGTAAAAGGGGTTAATATATGAACTGGATAAAATAAACAAAACAGGAAAGAGAAAGGCCAACTAGTAGAGTAATATGCGCAGATGAATCTAACCCCCAACACAAGAAAAGCTAAGATATGGGTGATACCGTGCCTTTGTGCCGTTTCTTTCTTGGCAAGTTTAACAGTTTGATTGCAGTGACAAGCAAAGATACTGATTACGGAGAATATAGCTAATAATCGTATGATAGCAATCCCCTCAACCCTCTTTTAACAAAAGGAGAAGCGGTTGAAGATATGTTTAAAGCAATCTATTAAGAATTATTTACAACTAAAGACATTAACATGATATTCAGCTTATGTTCTCAAGAACGTATCTTTACCCATCATCATTCGTGTGATATTAGGAATTAGAAGAAAAAAAATCTCAGTAATACTTTGCAATGGACGTGATATGATATAATATGCAATTAAGAGTGACAGAAAGCAAGAATGCGGCAGAGGTGAATTAAATAAAGTTACCTATATAAGGATCAGGATGACGCCACTTGTTGTAGGAGGCTTCAGCATCCGCTATGAGCCTATCAATGGTATCAGGGTCTTCCTGCATATGACACAAATCCCTAATCAGAAACACAGTCCTAACAATTAGGGAGGAAAAGTGTGACAACGCATGTGTGGATCCGAACGCAGCGAAGGGATTGAGGGGGAAAGAAAGGGGAAACGTACGACGTGTCTGTTTTCCTCGAACCTTTCGCGGAGATTTGAAGCCTGAGGAGAGAAAGGGAAAAGGGGATTAGAGAAGAGAAGGGATTGAAATTGAAATGGAGAGAAGAGAAAGGAGAATACGTCGTCGTAGAAGAGGTGGCGATGTACGGCCCAGTTGAGAGTGTCTTTGAGGGCGCGGCGGTACAGGATCCGAACCCTCTCCTTCTGCGCCGCCCGCCGAGCCAGGTACGCTGCCGTCGATGCCATGCTCATTTTCACTTCACTCCTCACTTTCCCAACCCACGGATTGGAAAAATGGAAAACTCACCGCGTCGTGTCGAGATTGGACTAGACTTTGGGCTCCATGCTGGGCTTTCCATCTTAGTTGGATCCAATTTCTATTACGGCGTTGATATATACACCTCCTTTTTTTCCTATAAGTATACCTCCTTTAAAAAAATAATTATAATTTTAAAAATTTTTAATTTTTAATTTTTAATTTTACATCCACAACATTTAATTTAGTATTTTTTTTTTACACATCTTCCCTCATTTTTTCAATTTTTATATGCACTTCCTTACATTTCCTCCAACTCACCTATTTTAGTAGCATGTAAAAATTAAAAGAGACAAAAAAAGTGTGTGAAAAAGAAGAAAAAAGTAACAAATTAAAAGTTAGAAGTGTAAAATTAGAAAATTAAAAAAAAACTACAATATTTTATAATATAAAAAAAATAAAGGAGGTGTATTTATAAGAAAAAGAGGTGTATATATCACGAGCCTTTCTATTATACCACCCATTTTTTCTGTCCATTTTTTCAATACTTCCACAATACAGAAAAAATGAAACATATAATTAGTAAATGATATTTTCCTCTCTTTTATTTTAAAATATACACTCTCTTTCCTTAAAATTGAATGTAAATTAAATTTAATCATTTTTAACGTTAGCAGTCTTCTTTAAAATGACAAATAATCATGAATATATATATAGAGAGAGAGAGAAAGAGGAGAGATCCTTTTATTTTCAAAGTAAGTCTAGATAGATTTATTTTGTTCAATAACTCATATTCTACATTAAATTTTAATGATCCAACCGTTAAATTTAAAGTTTGTAATTTTTAAAAAATTTAAAATCATTTAATACTTTATTTTATTAATTCAAATTGACGGATAATTATAAAATTATTTTACAGTCATAAACTATATATATATATATATATATATATATATAATGATAGTTCAAACGACATCGGTATAACTTTACTAAGTACTATACTGCTCAATAACTTTATATTAAATATGAATTTTATAAATTCAACCGTTAGATTAAAAATTCTTTACTCTCAGATTATATATACAAAATTTTATATTAATCCAAAATTAATTGATACTTCATTTTTATAAAATAAAATTAACGTAATATATTCATTTCAAACTATACTAAAATATGAACACTTTGATTACCTTCAAGTTGTTGCTCAATTTTAGAAGTTATGCTTTTAATACAAAGAGAGGGAAAGCGAAAAACACATTGACTTTTACGTAGCATGAAAATATAGAGTGACATGAATAGAAGTGTAGAACATGGTAGAGGTATAAAAGGAATCTACTATAAAATTAGCAATAGAAGACCAAGAATTCACAGGTATAAGGCATTAGGTAATATACTTATATTCGTTTACACCAAAATGAGAAAAGCAGTGGTTCCATTTGCATTGACGAAAGCAGTGAATTACATAATAAATAAAAAAATAAATTTGGTGTACATGAACAAAGGCCTAAAATAGAGAGACCCTGGTACTTCTCCAGGAATATGACATGCGTTGTGGTGTGAAGCTAAGGCCAAACATCTCCTTGAGGGCCTTACCCTGCCCAGTAAACCTCACTAACTTTGCAACAACCGCAGCACTCTCCGCAACATGGTTCATATCAGCGTTGCTCCATAAGCGATTCGCCAGCTGCTTCCTCCTGCGCTTTGAATCCAACGCAATGCTCCATTTTCTGAAGAGATTCTTCCTCTCTTCCTCGGATAGCCTTCTCTGCATGAGCTTCACCAGCATGTCTCTCTCGTGCCGAACACCTTTCGCACTGTTTTCCCATACAAAGACATGTATGTCAGTCAACACTAAGCAGTGTGCATGAGCAAGATGTATATCAGATGCTCATATGACAGAAAAGAAAGAGAACCTTGAAGCTAATGTTACTGTCTGATCGTCGTTCAACGACTGATTTCCTCCGGCAAATGTTTCTTTGAGGAAAGATAATCTTCTGTGCTCCACCTCCATGTAAATGGAGTCTGTTGGATCACCCCTGAACAAAAGGAAGAAGTAGGTCCTGTGGAACAGGGATACATTGCAGGTTTGCCACAGCTCCACTATCTCTCTTTGCTGAAGCTTGAATTGCATAGACCATTCTACTGGAGATCCAGGTACCTCTAACATTGAATCTACACCAGCATCTTTCATATTCTTCTCAAATCTAAAATATGTTGTCTCTGCCTGATGATCCTACAATTCAGTAACTATAATTTAGACAAAAACATTCAACTGTGTGACCCTCCAAATCAGATTTATAAGCATCAAATGAAACATTACACAGAAAACACTAGTAGTGGTAACAGATATGAATATGATTGTGTGAACTTATTAATATCCATGGCTGCTACAGGTATCAATATGAAACTATGAATGTCTTGATACGTAGAGGTTCAAGATTCTTCCGATATTTGCTAATGACAAGGAACAATTTCACACAATAAATATTGAAAAGGAATTAATAACAAAGATGACCAGAGTAAACAACCTACTTATGAAGACATTAACACTTCAATAAACCATAATTCACAGTTGTATCGTAACGGGTTAGTATTACATAACAGAAGAAGCATATGAACAATTCCAGTTATTTTCAAAGGCAATTAATACATCAGTGAGAAAATTTGCTTAAATTATAAGAAATAAGAAACGACTTGAAATAATTCATTTGCACCTGATCATCAACAAGCTGCTTCTCATACTCAAGTTTGACCATTTCCTTCATCCCAGCTACAAAAGTTTGGACACTAGTAATATCCTCGTTAGCATATGTTCTGGAGTTGTTGGTTCTTAACTCATCCATAGAGGGACTTCCAATAGAAGACGGTGAACCATTAGTTGACAATTTTGTGGAAGCATCATAAGTTAATGGAAGGAATTTTCTCTGCAATCCATCTGGTCTCCCAGGGAAGAATTTTTCAAAACTATTCAGCGGAGTCCGCTCCATTTCTTCTGTTTTATCAGGAGTGTAATATTCCCTGCAACTCCAGCTCCTTGTTAATTTAAGATTCCTACAATTTAACACTGTTGCTGAGCTAGCCAGTGGAGAATCATTACTCAATTGTGCATCATCCAGTCTCTGCTCCAGCACACTACTTGTTGCATTGTCTTGGATCTGTCTCTCTTCCCTATCTTCATTCACAGGGGTCGGTATTTCCTGAATTGTTACATTTTCCTCTCCATACCATGGTAATGCCAACACCCCATTTTCACTTACTGGTGGATCAGGATATTCCAAGTCATCTCTACTTGATTCCTCCAATTCAAGACTTTGAACTTCTTTGCAGTATTCATCAGGGTTTTCTGCACAGACAAAAATTATCACAATTCACATGCTAAATATGATGCTGTTCTAATCTTGAATGGTATTAACTTCCATCAGACTACTTACTATTGGCAAAGGGAGGAAACAACTTACTATCAGGACTACTTTCACTGTCTTCATTGTTATAGTTAGGATTGTTGAATTCTGTAATGCGTAAATCAGAACGATAGATGCTTGATGACTCTGATATTGAATCATCATCTTCCCAGGTGTCCGTCATTTCCTGCATATTAAAACAATTATCAATGCCAGTCTAAACAACAACAAGAGAGGTAACCAAATTCAGAGGCATAATTTCTTATAGAAGTTCACTAATTAGGAGATAGAAATAACTTTTCTAGATTTCTGATCATTTCCCACCATACGCAGCAAATCCTCAACCCTAGATTGAGCAAGATCACGTTGTTTCACTAGCTCCCGAATCTCCCTCTCCATCTGAATAATTGAAACCCATGTTATCAACATCCAAGAAGTAACAAAAATGTAACTTGCATAAAGGTGACTGATATATCGCTAAGCACCAATACAGCTTTAACTATGAAATAAAATTTAAAACTATAAATGATGATACCAATTATAGACACTGGGGAAAAACAAACAATTAATTAACCAGAAAAGAGAGGTTAACACACAAAGTTATAAATCAATATCTCTGAAGTTCCATGTCTAGACATGTCCACCATCTACACAAACTGTATATCATGAATTCGAAAAAAACTAAATTATAACCTTTTCTATCTGGAGATTTTTCTTTCGCAACACTGCTGCATAATCACAATTGGTGGCAGGAAGACCAGGATTTCTCAACTCGCTCTCTAATCTGGTTACCTCTTTTTGCAGTTGCTTGACCAATGCCTTATCAGACATCACTACATTAACCTGTGCTTTAGTGGTCACTTGTTTTGCGCAACAAGCAAAGAGAAGGGTGTTTCTAGTTTGCTCAACATGGCTCCGTGTAGGGCTCAGGGTGCAAATGATGGCTGTTCTAGAATTGCCACCTAAGAAAGGCTGCAGTATGCGTGTCAACTTAGAATCTCTGTAATTGATGTGTCCTTGTCTTCCCTTACTGTGTTCAAGCACATGATGTCAGCCAACAGAAACTTCTAAATGTTACATTTGAACAGCTTCATGGAAAGTGTAGCCCGTCAGATAAGTTTTGAATGAACATAAGTTTTCCAATGAGAAGCAATCTCAAATTAGTCAAAAGACAAGGTACATAATATCTGTCTTGCTTCTTCACCCAAACTTTGATTTATTGACGAAGTTAACATTAACTGATATTCGACTCTAAAAAAGGAACTCAGTTGCTTATAATTAAAAATAAGGCTATCTCAATGCTCTTTTTCTATTTTCTGAAAGACAGACTATCCTACTGCTACGAGCCTATATGATATCAATAGTTTCAGTCTGATACTGTGAAAAGCAAAAATATGCTCGTCAGTTTCTTAAATACAAAACACAAAGTTAACCTTGTAGTTTGACACATGGAATCATAAACAATAAAGATATGAGTAATTAATCAACAATAAAATAAGAGGCAGGCAATCAGGCACCCACGACTTACAATATCAGATGTAAGTTTGCTAACAATATTAGAAGATGAGTAAAGAAGGTAGACATCATAGGCTAAGAATGTAGACAACCTAAGTTTACGAATGACCGTCCCAAGAGTGAGTAAACTTCGGTTTATATGACAACCTTCTTTCAATCTGGACCCAGCAGATAATGCTTGTGATGCACGCTCACTCCCTGCCAAATCAACAAAATTCTGCAGAGAAAAGAAACCAAAATAATGGTAAAATCTTCTAAACATTTTATTTTGGACGAGAGGAAGAATTTATAAATTTAAACATACCACACTAGCTGCAAGGGTGGTTGAGTTGCTTTTATCCATGAATTCTCTGGCAGAACTTTCAATTGTCTGCAAGGTTACAATTACCATAACAAAGTCTACAAGTAAAACATATAAAACACAATGTTCTAAGCAGAAAGGGGAAAGGCGCAGAGACCAGTCTGATAATTTGGTGAGATCGAGAACTCTTGTCATTGAGGTATGTCTCTCCCACCTGTCTCTGTGCTGCAAGATTGTAGTGGAAATTGTAATGCCATAAACCAACCTGTGTCAAGAAAGTTATGCAAATTTCTTTTACCTTCACAGAATGATAGGAGCTCTTTCAAATGCACCCTGTCCCGTAGAGTCTCCTCTGTGAGTTTCTCTACTAGAGGTCCTCTCTGAAAAATCAAGAAACAATTAATTAAATAAATAATATTATTTATTCTTCAATTCAATAGATACAGATTATAGAATGCATTCACCTCAGGATCATCACGTAGCCTTAGGGATGTGTTCTCAGTTCTCAGGAGGTCCCTAATAATTTCGTTATAAATTTCAATTGCTGAGAACTTCAATACAAATGCTCTTTCTTCATGCTAAAAAGTAACCTTGTGTTAGAAAGACTTGTAACATTATAAACAAGAGTTATGGTTAAAAATGATACTGAAGAATTAAACAGCTAGATCAATAAATTCACAGTCTAACTACCTTATTGATATAGTCAAAAATATCTGCTACAGCATATTCAGTTATTCCAACCATCGTGTATGTCTTTCCACTGCTCGTTTGCCCATATGCAAAAATACTTGCTGAAAAAAATGTACAAATACATATTTATAGTCAAAGCTAAGGAGGCGGAGTAGAAGAGGATCATCAGAAGCTGGCAAGCAAAAAGTAATATGCTTACAGTTGATTCCGCCAACAACTGACAGAGCAATTTCTTTGGCCCCTTCCTCATATACCTGCTTTGTCGAACAGTCACCCCGAAATACTCTATCTACAACCATATCATAATAAAAATTCAGAAACATTTGCTCCATGATAAATGAACCCCGGATACATTAAATCTTAAACTTAATCAACAGTGCTTCCATAAAATCCAAACACAATCATTTCAGAAAAGCTAAGCAAAATGCATTTTGAAGTACAGTAAAGTACAGACATTTTTTAAAAATTAAATATAAAGGAAATAAAAGGAATTGGCATCTTAACAAATTATATCAATTGATCATCCAAACAAGCAAAAAGGGAATCACCAAATGTTTGTATCACCAATTCAATTAAGTAATTTCACAAGTTGGTCATCCCTAGAAAATTAGAAAAAAGTGCATCTCAGCCATAGAAAGTTAAAGCTAGAGAACTTGAAACTATTTAAACCAACTAAACCTTGTTCTCCAGGCAAAGGAAAGAGATCCTCAGATCCAGTAAACGTACTTTATGAATCAATCCCATGTTCTAATATTCCAATGCTTGTCGATATAATGCAAACACAGAATTGTTTGATTTTGCTTCCAATTTATGACAATACATATTTGTGAATTATATAGCAACATCAATGATAGTAGACATTTGCTTACCAAAGGTGTAGGCACTTGGGAATGTGGAACCTTCCCGGAGAGTGTTCCGGTACAAGATGGTAGTGTCATTGATGCATTCCCAATCTGCTACTTCATTCACGGCAATTTCCTTCTCACTCAAAGGCCTAAGCCTCACTAACACCAGAATCTTCTCTTCATGACCGCCAACTCCACCCATCTTCTCCCATTTAACTAACTCTTCTCCAGCAACCGCTCCCATTTCTCACTTTTAAAAGTGAAAAACAAGTGATATGGTAAATTATAAAAGTTGTTAATGCTTTCCCAAAAATTCAAGACAGTTATAGCAAAATAGCTGGCAGTTCACAAATACCAAGCCCATAATTTGAGCATTATACACAGGAAAAGCAAATTATGAATGAGAAGACAACAACCTATTAACTTCAGCTCATAAATAAACAGGCAATAACAGCAACAAGAAGCTAACTTTAGAAAAGACCAAGAACAACAGAATACTAACTAATTACTTTTAAATCATCAATAAATTCTCTCTTGTCACTTGTAAGCTTTATATCACGAGAACTTCTCTTCGATAAGTTTAAACAACAAAAAAAGAAAGTAAGATAACAAAGAAGAGATGAGAGAGAAGAGCGATAAAAAAATTTAAATAAAAAGAAAAACAGTTAAGAAAATAGTGCAGGGGGCAAAACATGAAAAATCCGATTTTTTTTATCTTTGGTTCACCAAAGATCAATTGTAGTAGAAGAATAAAAAAAGTTTGATCGTGTCAACTGCTGAATGAGTGAGACCTGAGAACAAAGTTCAACGAGACAAGACCATGAATTGTTTCGTTTGTTACATTACACGGGGCACTGGTCCCAACAAACAAGAACATCCCTTTCATTCTCCCCCTCTTTTTCTTCTTTCCAACAAACACATACGGTCACATATTCTTATAGAAATTAATGATACATGACTGAGTGACATTACCTTCAAATTTCTCTGTCCTTTAGCTTCTTCCTCTGGCGGTGAGCGAACCGCAATTGAAAGCTTAACCACAAATGCGACCCAAAAGTAAGACTAAAATCAACTCACGCATTGGTTCTCTTCTGAAGTCGCTTACTCAACACAACTAAATGTTTCAGAGTTCAAAGTTCAAACCTTTGAGTAGACTGGAGTCACAATACTAGAGTTGAAGTTAGTACGATCCATAACCATAAGGTGTGTGACGTAGCGTCCAAGTTTATATTTTTGGTTAACCAGAAACAGAAAAGGTAGAGGATGAAGCTTTTTATTTATTTATTTATTTATTTTTATTCTATAGAATAAGAGTAGTGAAAGCAGAAGGGTGAAAATGGGTGCAAGTTTAACGACCCACGATCTGAAAAGAATTGTAACGCCAATACAGTACAGCATGCAAATTGCAATGTAAGAGAGAGAGTGGTTGGTTTCATGGCATAGCATGGAACTTGGGAGCCTACTTTCCTTCTCATGAGCGTCTATTTCAGAGGATTTCAATATTTCCACACCCACTTTATTACATCCTTTTCTTCTTCCCTGCATGATCTTGTTACAACTACATTTATAAAGTCATCATTTTAAGTTGTTTCGTAAAAGAAAATTATAAAATAGTTAATTGAGTAGAAAATAAAGAAAAAATATGAGTAGAAGAACATAAATAATTCAGTTCAGTTCCAGCCTGGCTTTTCCACCCTACGGACATCCAAACAACACAGCACCCTCAATCACGCCTTCATGTATTCTTCTTTTCTACAAAATAATTTATTAAAAAATATGATAAAATTTTGCTTCATATTTTAAATTTATATAATAAAAAATAATATTCATTTTATTGATACATCTCTTTTTTAATTTTTTTATATAATTATATGATTCTTAATTTCTTAAGAATCAAATATTTATTTAAATAATTATCAATTACTGTACCCAAAAAATAATTATTGATTAGAGATTAAATGTAAGTAATTTGTGAGATTTATATAATATTTTTTACAATGAATAACTTAAATTGTGTAAAGTAAATAAAAAATAATTGTATGGGGAAGGTCTTTCGGCCATACCCCTTGGCATACAAACACTAAGACTCGTTCGACACCTTAGATAGTTGAGAGCTTCCTAGAGGATTCCCTAATGTAGAAAGGATCAAGCTTCATTTTGATAAACCTCCATCGGTACTCTCGTTAGTCGAAACCCGTTCGGCACCCGAGGAGACCGAGAGCCACAATTAAAATGCCTCATTTGGCATTCACGGCAGTCGAAACGCACATGTAGACAACATTGGACTTTATTCGGCACCCTTGGCAGTCGAAGCCTATTCGACACCTTCAATAGTCGAAACCCATTCGGCACCCTCAGTAGCTGAAGCCTATTCAGCACCCTCAGCAACCAAAACTTAGTTGGCACCATTGACAGCCGAAACCCATTCGGTATCTTCGGCAGTTAAAACCCATTCGGCACTCTCGACAGTCGAAACCTATTCGATATCTTTGGCAGTCGAGTGTCGGATAAAACCCCTTAAACAAATGTTAATCATCTTTAATTAACGATCAAAGGTTAATTATGGCCATAAAGTTAATTATCCAATATATTACCTAATTTGGTAACCTTAGCACATGACCCATTGAAAATCGGGCCTATAAATGTCAGTATAAATAGTTCATATCTCAAAGGTTGTTCATTAGTTACTATTGATATTTGTGCTTATTATGACTTAAGTGTCAGAGTACCTTTTGCATATACCCCCCCGTTGAAATATTTGTTCGAAGCTCTTATTCAACCTTTAGATTACGAGAAAATTACGAATATACCTTTAGACATGTATAATAATGTTATATAGTATTTGTATACAAATTATGGAGAAAATAAAGATAAACAATTATAATAAATTACTTATTTTGAAATGTCTTAAAACACCTTAATACTTTGTTCGAAAGAAAAAATGAGAAAGAAAACAAAATAGAAGACACAAAAGTTAAATTTTCGCTATACTTATTGTGTTAGGTAGAAAAGAAAAACATTTTGTGATAGAATTATTGGAAACAATGTACCGCATAAAAGATAAATTGGTTATTTGGAAAGAAAAAATGGTCCTCTTTTTCATTAACATAATAATTGAGTAAAAATAAAATTGCGAGACAGACATGACTTTTGAGACTTCCACCGTATTTCTTTTCGTTACCAAGCAAGAGAAGTCCTTAATATCAATCTCCTTCTTTTCAATTTTCATTATTTTTTCTTCTTCTAAAATTCTTCTAAAAATTAGTGTAAATGATTGTTATCGAATAATGAGTATATAAGGGAGAGATAATCTTTTCAACGTAAGTTTTATTTATCCTAAATTATTAAAAAGTATTATACTAATAAATAGTATTTTTTATAAGTATTTTTAAGAATAAATAAATAATTTTTTAAATTATAAATTCATTAAATTTTTCATTACATGCGAAATTGGTGATTAATATTTATAATTTTAGCTCTTTAAAAAGAGTTTAATTTGTCTATATTTTAGATATACTTTTATTGATATTTTAAATTATTTTAATTCAATTAATATTTTGAAATATGAATGTTTCATATGAAATTTGATATATATTAATGTATGAACTTTAATTTTTATTCTCATATCTTCTAATATCCATGTCTGGCTTCATGTCTATATATGTCCTATTAATAAGTTTGATCTATAAATTTTAAAAACATGTGAATTTATTTAATTTTTTAAAGCTCATACTTTTTAAAGTTAAGAATTATTAAATTCACATATTTTTTAAAACTTGTAGATCAAATTAATCTATATAAAAATACAATATCATCGACTATATTTGTCTGAAAGTATAAAAAATGAAAAAAAAAAAAATATATATATATACGTATATACTCAAACATTAACATTAATTATCCATGCGTATTACGTGACCTGAATCTGCCGTTGTAAAAGTATGTG